AGGAGTGTTGTTTATTGTTTGATTACACTTTGATTGGTTTCCTGTGAATTGCCCCTCCTCTAGGTCGCTGTGACTGGCGGATCGGTCGTCAGTGGGGCGGAGGACGAGGGCCAATCAGGAGACGGAGCCGCTGCTTAAGAGGGACGGCGGGCTCATTCTCTGGAACCCCTCTCAGTATTGCTGACGCTCAGGGCCGCCGATTGTGGGCTGCTCTCCGGCACCCAGATTGTTGTGCATTTCAGACTGTTTTGGATAAGTGTTTTTCGTGTCATCAGCGGCATCAGCTGCAAAACCGCGCCGGGGGGAAGAACGGTAGGTTAGTATATCGCGATATACATCCTGCCCGTAGTTGTCCTGTGTATAGACACCCTAGGGTAGAGGTGAGCGCCACCCCCTGTATTTTTGTTATTAGATAGGAGGTGTAGGCGCCGAGTGCGCGAAGACTCCGTTTTTCTTTCGACCTTTTTCTTTGGATAGGGGTAGGTCGAGGTAGGGGTGTTTTGGTTATACTTGGTTCTCTCAGTTGGCGCCGCCTACGTTCTTTCCCCAATGTATTCAGGTAGGGGTGCTTATCCCCCTCTTTTCGACTGGGTCCGGGGAGAACAATAAAACCCCAGTTTTTTTTCTTTTACAACGTGCCTGCCTTGTCTCCTTTCATTTACCTCTCCCCCGTGATACATCGACAAATTTTAGTGTTACGGCTGTCCCTAGACCGCCAGTGATCGTAACAGCGACCTTCATTCTATGCTTTTTCCCCGCAAATCTAATTTACACCGATACCACAGGATACTCGTGAACATCCCCATGCACACACCGTATTCTCACCCGGTCTGCCTCCACCAATGCCCCCGGCCGAACCAGGCTGTGGTGAATTATAGACTGCGTACAGCCCGAATCCACCATCACCTGGCGTGTACCCTCCTGTATTCTTACCGGAACGCGGTACGTCGCTCCCGGAACAGGGGAGGGTGCCGGCACGCCGGCAACTCGGATCATCTTTCCCACGGCACTTCCAACACTCCTGCCCCGGCGCTGGAGAACCTCTCTGAGTTGGGAAGGGTGCATGGGTCCCCCAAGGCTGGCTGCAGCTCCGTCCGGCTGCAGCCACCTCGTGGCGGCGTCTTTTAGCCGCTGGGCGTAGGCGAACGGGCGGTCCTGTGGTCCCAGCCTGGCCTCGCGGAATCGCCGGCGGTGGTCCTCTGGAGAAAGCCCCATTCTGTCCACTACGGCCCTTTTAATGCTGGTGTAGTCGCGCCGCCGGTGGCAGCCCCATGGCCGCGATCTGCGCCTCCGCGACAAGGAGAGGCAAAAGCCGGACCGGCCACTCCCCCGCTGGCCAGCCGCACGCCTCCGCAGAAGTCTCGAAGGCCTCCAGGAACGCCTGGACGTCGTCCCCCGTCGTCATTCGCTGAAGCGTGATCCCGCGAACGCAGCGGGCTCCTGCGTCTGTGGCGCGGCCGCGGGCAGCTGTTAGCAGCTGTCAGCGCCCAGGCCTGTCTCCCCACCTGGGCCTGGAGCGCCCCCAGGAACTGCCGGTTCGCCTCCGCCTGCTCACTCTGCATGGCCGCCAGCTCTCCGATCATTCGGCCGAGCGCCACGAGCAGGTGGGCCGGCGTCCGTCACCCGCCGCATCCTCCCCCGAGCCACATTGGGCGCCACTGTGGCAGGTTCGTCCTACGGGGGGGTCCCGGAATGACGAGAGTGCAGCGGTCTGTTCCATTTTATACTCTTTATTTTTATTTTAATGTTCACATACAATACTAGACAGCCGGCTCCAGCCTCCTCCTCCTGGTTGCAGCACCTAGACGTATCTCAGCCCCACCTTTACTAAACCACATGTAGCAAATGGTAATGAGAGCTCCCAAATGCCAGTGCACAAAGGAGATAGGCCTGTTAAACATAGTCACTGATGAATAGCTGCAATATAGCAAGGAGACTGACCGGCACTAACAAAAGAAAGTAAAAAATGTAGGGAAAGTAAAGAACATTAAGGAAGAGAGGAATGACGCTCAACCATGGCTGTACCATGAGCGAGATCAGTGACAGCAAATGTACTGAAAACAAGTAGAACACGTAGGCATATATACTGAATGAGGATATGAAAGTACTCAAAAACTATGATGGAAGACATGAATAAATGTGGAGGACTTTTGCTGATGGGAACATTAAAATGAAAAACGACAGGGATGACAAGAAAAAACAAACTGACAAAAACAAAAGAATGCATGAATAATTACGAAGACCAGAATGCTTTACTTCCAATTTATGTTGATTTAGGAAAATACAAGAAGCCGTAAAAAGTGACAAGGATGTAAAGCTGCGTCATAAAAATCCATCATGTTCTACGCTGAGATGGAGGGAGAAGGTCATTTAATATGTGTTCAGGGATGATAGTTGTCAGTTCGCAGCAGGGACATCACTGTTTGGTTAGGAACTAAAATCTGTGAAAGGCCTTGATGGTTGGGTGGTTGGCGGTGGGGAAGACATGAAGCATGGCTTTTGCGCTAATGAGGCGAGCTGAGCTAAGAGGATGTCAGCTGCTAATGCTGGAAACTCAGCTTCTTCACCAGCAGAAATCTCTTAGGTCTAATTTTGTTTAATTGGGAGCTTCTTCCCCGGGAGTAATGGGCCTTTTTAAATTTCAGATGTGTACATACTGTGGAATGATGGCCACTGAGCCCTACCTGACTCTCTCTCCTGTGGATAGTCCATGTGCGCTTTTTGGATCATTCGGCATGACTTCAACCATTTCTTGATTACCTTTTACTTTGCCAGAAGATGTCAAGTATAAATACAACTGAACCGACTCTGCCAATTTACAGGCAGTATTCCTCCCACCATGATGTAAATGACTCATCTTAATGATGTAGATATATTCACATGATTTACCAGATGGCAAACAAGCCTAAACTGCAGTGCTCGGAGGAGAGATCAACAGCTTGTCCCTTACTTAAGTGACATTTGATGGGACGGGGTGCGGTTAGAACCCTGGGATGTCATTGTACTTCTCCATAGTGAAGGCCAAACAGAGAAGGCCATTAAAGATGCCACTGAGCTTGCTCTACAATGAAAATATGTGAACTTCCCAAGCTATCCAAATTTTACGTGCCAGATGAATTTATTTATTTAAGAAGGTGGGTGGAAAAAGATTGACTGAAAGTCAGAAAATGCACAGCTAACACTAGTTCGATTCTATATTTGAATGGCCCTTTTGTAATGGGTCTAGTGATTCTGGGAAAAACGCTCAAACTGTACATGGTATTAATGAACTCTTCAGTAGGTTTATAATTGTAAAACATTTTTACTGTGATGTCTTTGTCGTATGGCTGCAGAAATTCTAATTGCACTGTATTTCAACTACATTTTTACAAGTAGCCTTTAAAAAAAAAAAAGCAATGCTTGAAATGTGATACTGTTGAACGGAACTCTAGTCAGTACAAACAGGAAATGGTTTGGGAAACTAAAACCGTTGTCTCATTCATAGTGCATAAAAGCAATTAATCCTGCTACAACATGGATAGTTGTTGGCATTCTAGCTTAAGTAAACAAGTTGAGAGGAAGCCAACAACAAGCCATTGACTAACTAAATCACTACATGCAAGTTATACATAATTAATTTTGTAATTTAACTGGAAGAAGATGAACCTCCCTGATGTACAGACATATTGCAGTCATTTGGGTTGTGGCTAATAGAGGACTATATAGTGTTTCTGTATTTCATTAAGATGTGATACTCTTTACATCTCTTGAAGTGAGTGTGATGTGGTATAGGGGATCTAAGTCTGCGAATGTTGGGAATGAACAGTGAGCCAACCAAGCAGGGGGCTGTGACGTACAAGATGCCATCGAGAGAGGAGTTGAACGTGAAAGCAAAAGGCCAACGGGCAAAAACACATTACAAGTACCGGGGGAAAAAGGCTGGCAGGAACGAGGAACCTCCAGGACAAAAGACATCCGGAACAATAGACAATGGACGGTCGGAGGAGCGAGTCGGGGAACGGCAGATCGCTGTGGCGGCCCGGCGGGAACGGGAGAGCGCTGCGACCCAGCGTGGAAAGCGGTGCGCTGCGGCCCAGCGTGGAGGGAGTAGGTGGGAGGGAGGAGCTTGGCCACGAGGTCCATCACTCGATCCCAGTAAGTCCGTTCTCCGTTTGACCACGAGAAGGCCTCCTCCTCTGGAGGCGGCGTGGTGGGCGGCAGATGGCGAGAGCGGCGACCCGAGCGCCTTCTGGGGACTCGGAGAGGCGACGGAATAGGCCAGGAAGCCAGCAGGGAATCCGGGGAGAGCATTCTCCCCATGCCGAGCAGCCAGCGTGGCCCGCCGAAAGCCAGACGGGTTCCCCGGAACTCCTCCCGGGGAAAAAAACTCTGCTGAGTCCTTTCTAGATCGCTTCATTCTGTCAGGGATGCGTGGGGAAGGCAGATCTCAAACGCAGAGTTTAACGCGAAAAGACTTAAACTCCAACAAAGCAAAAGGCCAACGGGCAAAAAACACATACAAGTACTGGGGGGAAAAAGGCTGGCAGGAACGAGGAAAATCCAGGACAAAAGACAAGGAACATCCGGAACAATAGAAAATGACGCGACAAGTGACAGGAGCCACACGCAGCTTAAATATACTAGGAAGGTGCAGGTGATTGGACACAGGAGGAAACAATCAGACAATCACAGACGATGACAGGACCAGGCAGGAAGTGAACTAAACAACATTATAAAGAATACAATTACGAAGTAAAATACAAAACGAACAGTAAAATATTTACTATTTCGCGAAATAGAGAATTCTCTGAGCAAGTGACTCATCAAAGCGGCTGCAGGAAAATTCTAATGGTGCGTTTCCACTGAGTGGTACGGTACGATACGGGTCGGCCCTTTTATTTGTGTCTCCACTGCCAAAAGTTGAGAATAGTACCAAAAATCCGAACCGTACCATTTTTTGGGTACCCTTCCGTTGGGGTACCTGGCACAGTTGTTTGATACAAAAGGGCGGAGCTAGACTCACTGCAGAGCGTTGATTGGTTGAAAGAGTGTCGTCATTTGCGCGTGCCGCAAGGGAAAAGACAACACTAGAGGCGCCATTTTTAAACTACATTCTGTCGCAACAATGTCGCCGCGCAGCGTTACTTTACCGCGGTCAATCCCGGAGGTGCAGACCTTCTTGGGTATCATCGGTGAAGAAAGGGTGCAAAGGGAACTCGATGGCATGGTGAGAAACGAAAAGGTTTTTCAGGATGTTTCTGAGAGGATGGCTGTCGAGGGTTACCAGCGGACATCCGAGCAGTGCCGCTTTAAATGCAAGAAACTGCGGAGTGACTACCGTAAGGTGAAAGACCACAACAGCCGGAGTGGTGTTCACAGAAAAAATTGGAAGTGGCTAGATATGGTAGACGCAATCTACGGACACAGAGCGGCGAGTTTGGGACGAGAAGGAGGCATCAATACGGCCACCTCGTTGCTGGAGTCGACGATGGAGCCTCCCGGTAAGTTTTTTTATTGTGAAATATAGTAAGATCACGAGAAAGCGTACTTTCAATGCACAACTTTTGTGCGGGTCTGTTGTTTGTCTGTCAGCCAGCCAGTGTGCTATCAACAAATAATTTGCAAGGTAGCAAAACGCTAGTTTATTAGTACGTTGTGGACGGAGTGCATGTCCAGTAACGTTACTTGTACAGATAGATTTTACTATTAAAGATATTCTACTAAATATATATTAAAGAGAGATGTGTCTAATTATTGATTTCTTACTCTTACCTTAAGCTCTGTCTGAAAATAATTATGAAATATCAGAGAAAGAAGTGAAAATGTCCACATTCAATAGGCTTAAACAGTACAGTAATATTGTGGGGTAAAAAGTACAATATTATGCTTTGGAATGTAGTGCAATAAAAGCTCTTATAAAATTATAGATACTTGAAAAAAATACTTATGTACATTTATACAAAGTAAAAATGCTTTGTTTGGCTATGCACTTGACTAGTTTGGCTAGACCTACGTTGTATGTTCTGTATTTATCTCAACCGCATTGTTGCCGTTTGTGTAATTAACGTGACTTGTGTAACTTTTCAGTTGAGTATCCTAGCTGTCGGGAGGAAATTGAACAAGAGGTACTTGGTGAAATTTCCACCCTTGAAAGCGCAAGTTCGCCTGCCAGGACTTCAACACCGACACCACCACCAACAGAATCTGCTCAATCAACTGCGAGTGAACCTCAATTGGTAAGACATGAACACCACAGTGAAAAGAAATTTAATAAATATTTATTATATTATTTTATATTCTCCCTAACCCTAATGCAATGGGGGAATATTTGCGGGTCCTGATAATGGCAAACGTCTTGTTACCAGAATGTTAAGCATATTCGTATAAAATAATTCAGTATTTTCAGTTTCAGAATCATAAAGATTTTTATTCTAGTACCACTATTGTCCTTGGGTTACAAGCACCAAGTCCAAGCCTATCCATTTAAACCCACAATGTAATATTAAAGTTAGCATTTTAATCAACAGTACATTTTTTGTTAACCTTTTATCATATGTCTTGTAGAAATCACAAGGATCAAAAGGCTTCGCTAAACAAACCAATATTCCTGTCTTTTGCATTCCAGGCAAGAGGAAAAGGGGCAACAGGATGTTGTTGCGGCCCTGGCTGAGATGCAGGCAGCTGATGAGAAGCAGCAGGAGTGGCTGGAAAAGATGGAGGACCGCCGTGACCGGCGCTTCGAACTTATGATGGAGGATGCCCGTGAGGCAAGGCGGCATGAGGCTGATACAACTCGCCAACATATAGAGCAGTCTGCGAACTTTAATCAGGCCGTCCTCGGCATGCTCGCTCAGCTGGTGCAGGCGTTTAGTCGCCCCAACTCTGTGCCATGATCCAGCCACTAGTGCTCTTTTGCACACAGCACTTTAGACTAGTTTACTTTTTTGGACTTGTTTACGCTCGTTTACTTTGTTTGCAATTTGTTTGACTTTTCAAATTAAAGTACTTTTACCCTGTGTCCTGTGTTCAATGGCCATCTCACACAATTCCTCCCTTATCCATTCTATAAATTGAGGTCATTTTATTTATGTTCCTGTCATTATTTGCTACCTTGGACATTTGGGAGATTATGCTTGCCTTAAATACAAAATAGTATATATACAAAATAGTTAGTAATGTTACTTTACATTTAAAATAGCTTATCTTCCAAGGTTTTACCCTAATCATATGATTTTTAAAGTGACCTATTGCAAACTGAAATCTGAATTTAATTGTTTACAGTTTTTACATATTATAAATTGTTCTCTTAATTACTACGTACATAATTTAAAATTACACTAAAATTACCAAAGTGTATGCTGTAAATTGTGTACTTGAACAGTATTATGTACAGTGTTGTGTTCAAAAATGAAGAAACGCCAGACGGACAGAGGTCATCGCAGATCAAAAGGTTAAATCAAATGTATTTAATAAAGGAGATGGTGTTGTGGTAAAAAGAACATCTCAGCTGAGGAGCCGCTGGTCTCAGCAACCAACAGGCCCCAGGTCAGTCCTTTGACCATCCCTAGTGCCAGTCTGTCGCCTCCACCAGCGAACTCCAGAACAATGGTTCCTACAGGTATTTATATCAATGCTTAAAGGTGTGAAAGTCAGTGTCCACACCTCTGGGAGTGGTCTTCTGGTGAGTTCAATGGAACTCGGATTTCGAATGACCCTTAGTCAATATCAGTTGTTGTTCAAGTATTAAATGCATGCATTCCAGTTGATTACATTACATCAAATACAATCATAACTACATTGGTATTGTTCTATTACAGTTGTAGATTTACAGTGGTTTTACAATATTGTCATTACTTTATTGATTACACAGTTTCAGAATTATGGCTGTATTCTGGTGTACACTATATGCATTTTTATTAATTTTATGAACCGGGTCGTATATTGTTTGTAATATCCTACAACAGCGTTACCAGATTGTCCATTTGATATAGCTACCCAAAATGAATTATACCTCATGTTTAAACACCATCTACATAGGATGCAGCGGCAAAAATATTTCACAAAATATGAAGCGGCAGGGTAAAAGTAAAAAGGATTTATTCATTTTCAATAAAATCAAAACTTACATTTATACAGGTGTACAACAGATTTAACTGTTCAAATAACTTATTAGACCCTCGCGTACATCCCTGCCCTCCTCCTCTGCGCCCTGTGCCTGTGGAACCACAGGCTCCGCAGCAGCCGGTGTATCCCATTCGTGCTGGTAATCCTCTCCATGCCTTTCACAAAGATTGTGCAGAGCACAACAAGTCAACACCATGGACTTCACGAATTCGATTTCGCTGATTTTGCAACAGATTTATTATAGAAAACCCAAAGCAATATTAAGGTTAAAACAATGTCACAGTGACGGTGAATGTGTTCAAGTCATTTATTATTAGGGCAACTATCATACACCAGATGAAAAAATACATAAAGTATTATAAACATTGTAAGTGTTACCCTTGGACACAAAAGAATATATACATTTGTTAAAATATCTAATATACTGCACCAGAGAGGGAACTTTGGTGTCATTAAAGCACAAAGAAAAACTATCTTAAAGATAAACAAAATAATGAATCATTAACCACAACTAGCATTGCACTTGAAATAATATAGGAATCAACACATTCATGTGAGAGTTTAATAATCTTAATAAGTAACCTTCATAGTGCGTAAATAATAAACAGACTGTAGTTTACAGTTAGCACCGTTAAAATCTGGTTTCACAGGCAGGGCTTATTGTACTTATTTTTTTAGTTTAGGATTATTTAATTTATAAGAATATAGTTAGCACATAAGACGAAATACATTAATACATGACATGAAAAAGATAGCTTAGCTCAAGCTTACCCTCTTGCGCCGTCGTGTTTGTCTTGCCTTGTCTTGCCTCACGCGGTTGTCTGTCTCGTCCCAGCTCCTTAAAACTTCCCGAATCCGCCTGTATTTTTCCGCTGTGTTTTTCCTTGCAGCATGTAGTCTTTGCTCAAACAAAGATCGTCGTCTCCTTGTGACAAACAGCCACATATCGAGAAGCGAGAACAGGATCGGCTGTATGTCCTCCATTGTTGTTTGCGGTTAGCGTTCAGTTTTCGATCAATCTACTTTCCGTCATATACCACGCCTATCAAGTGACGTTATCACTACTTTCTGGAATACACCACGCCTATCAAGTAAGGGTACTGTTGGCGGTGGAAACGCTCGCCAAATCATGGTTAACAGACCCGACCTGTACCGCTCGGTGGAAACGCGCCATAACAGTCCTTCCCCCGCTTTGGTCCTTTGAAAACCCTGAGGTGTGTCTCCTTCAAAGTATCTCTTCCTGGATTGTCCCCTTCACATCCAGGTGTGAAACTGCAGCTGTAACCTGAGACCTTCTCTGTCCCTCACATTCCAATGCATTCAATGTAGATACATTCGGCTTTATGCCTCAATGAGTGAATATAACAAAGCATGCATAGTTTGTCTTCATCTAATAACTAGTACACTTTAATTACAACACATCATAAATGAGCACAGTTCATCACACTACATCATAATATCTAAAACAGTTCATGTGGTCCAACACTCAAGACATTTGCCTCAATCGGCTGTCTTACATTCAGTTGCTCATCTACTACCTGACAGGAGAGAGAACTCCCAAAAAACCCTCTTTGGGGAGAAAATTGGGAGAAATCCATAAAGGCAACTATCACCCGTCCCCATGTTTTAACATCACATTGTGACAGAATGTTAATGTGTACAGTGTTTATATGATTTACATTGTGTTTATTTATATTGCATTTACTTCATCTAACGTGCTAATGTAATAACTAATATCTAACAACACACAAACTACAATTCTACACTTAACATTATTGCACATATTATAATTTCCACCACTAGGGGTGCACGTCTTGCTTAAATCCCTAACAATACCCAGTCAGCAATGGGAGAAACCACGTTTTCTATATTACATTACAGGTCATTTAGCTGAGCTTTTATCCAAAGCGACTTACATTAGATTTTTAACCCATGACTTCTTACATTTTTTACATTCAACCTCCTGTTCCATATATCGACGTATTTGGCTGGAAGAACTTTGTCCGTTTCTTTATCTGCCCAAAAAGGAAGACTTACTTATGTACAATAAACCAAACATGCTGGAGAAGTTGTGGGGAGAGGAGGGAAAATCACCAGTGGTCGCAAAACTGGATTGAAATAAAAAAGTTTAATTCACTTTATTACCTATTTATGTAATTGTTTAATTTGTCTTCTCTATTATCAACAACTACAGACCAATTTCCAATCCACCTTTCATAAGTAAAATAATTGAGAATGTTGTCCTACAACAACTTAATCACTTCCTGGCTTCAACTGGCTGCCACGACAATTTCCAGTCAGGATTTCGACCTCTTCATAGCACCGAGACGGCCCTTATTAAAGTTGTATATGACATCCGTCTTAACACAGACTCAGGCAAAACTTCAATATTAATGCTATTAGACCTCAGTGCTGCATTTGATACTGTCGACCACTCAATACTTTTCGACAAGTTGGAAAACTGGGTGGGGCTCTCAGGCACAGTCTTAAGCTGGTTCAGGTCATATCTACAAGACAGGAACTATTTTGTTTCCATTGGTGACTTTGTATCAGAAACAACCAACGTAGCGTGTGGAGTCCCCCAAGGTTCGATCTTAGGGCCTACTTTATTCAACATCTACATGCTCCCACTAGGACAAATCATGCAAAGAAATAAAATTGACCACCATTGCTACGCTGATGACACCCAAATCTATGTAGCGCTATCACCAAACGACTATCGCCCCATAGATCTTCTGTGCCAGTGCATTGAGCAAATCAAAGACTGGATGTGTCAAAATTTCCTACAACTAAATGAAGACAAAACTGAGATCATTGTATTTGGTGCTAAAAAAGAAAGGTTTAAAGTAACCCAACACCTTCACTCTCTGTCCCTGAAAACATCAAATAAAGCCAGAAATCTGGGGGTCATTATGGATTCAGATTTACACTTGGAGAGTCACATCAAATCAGTAACAAAATCGGCCTACTACCACCTCAAAAATGTAGCACGACTTAGAGGGCTCATGTCAGCTCAAGACTTAGAAACACTTGTACATGCCTTTATAACCAGTAGGCTAGACTATTGTAATGGTCTCCTTGCAGGTCTTCCAAAAAAAACTGTCAGGCAGCTCCAGCTTGTTCAGAACGCTGCTGCTAGAGTTCTAACAAAAACCAAAAAATGTGAGGACATTACACCAATTCTTAAATCCTTACATTGGCTCCCAGTATGTCAGAGAATTAATTTCAAAATCCTACTGCTCACATATAAATCACTACATGGTCTACGGCCAAAGTATATTACTGATATGCTTCCACTACATAAGCCTTTAAGATCACTAAGATCTTCTGACACCAATCTGTTAGTATATATTTTAATTCCTGCATTTTATTTCACTTTATTGTATGAAATGTTATGATGTGAAGCACTTTGAGTCTGCCTTGTGTATGAAAAGCGCTATACAGATAAAATTGCCTTGCCTTCTTCTTCCTGATCTTTGTCAGATTCATCAATGCTTTTAATTTATAAAGCTTGTTTTTCCTTGGTATAAAAAATATACCTGATCTTAATATATCACGCAGGAACTCATAGCTCATGCACTCAATCGCAATCTAAAGTGTATTTGTAATAATGACCTTTTTTCTTCCACCTTACATGCTTGAGTATGATTGCGTTTTGCACAGTAGTACAGGATCCAATGGAGACACTGATGGAGGACTGCAGCAGCTGCCGCTGTGCTGCTCTTTCACTGCATGGTGGGGGAGACGAGGCGTCAGGAACAACTGATTAAATCACTCATGAGTATGACATGAAGAATGATCATGCAGCTGTGTGTCTATTGT